TTTTTTTTTTTTTTTTCTTTGTTTGTTTGTTTCCTTCTACGATTTGGGTTGTTTAATATACGATAACAAAAATAGGGAAGGAAGAAGAAGGGTAAAAGCAAAAAAAAAAAAAAAAAAAAACAAAATGACAACAATGACACTTTTAAGTTCTGCAAACGCCCAAAAGTTTTGGGAATTGGATTCAGCATTTGAGGTGAAGGAGCGCCACACGAGTAGTCCTGTAAGAACTATGGAAACCTTTCGCTTTCAGAAAGAAGTACTCAGTGTGAATGGGGAAACTGACACTGGTGAACGACCAAGTAACGCTCACTTGATCAGTTTTGAAGAACATCAGGCATCTCTTCCACGTTTGCCTATTCCACCATTGCGAGACACCTGCGAATTATATCTAAAGTCTATTCAAGCTATTGCTTCATCAGAGGAATATTTCTACGCATCTAAAGCAGTAGAAGAGTTTCTACGCCCTGGTGGTACAGGTGAACTACTACACAGTCTACTAGTAAAATGGGATCAGTCATGTGATCAACCAAGTTGGCTTGAAGAGTTCTGGGATGATTCTTACCTCTGTACACGTGATCCCATACCTGTAAATGTGAATTACTTCTTCCAATTGCAGCCCCATCCACAACAGAAAGGTGGAATAGAACGTGTTTCTCAGGTTGGGCGAGCTGCAAGTCTTCTACATGCTGCCACAGAGTATTATCTTTCTATTCTTAATGGTACAGTGGAAAAAGAGTTTGAGCGGGATTCACCTGTTTGCATGAGTCAATATAGATATGTCTTTTCTACTGCACGTGTTCCTGGTTTACATCGTGATCGTAAAGTTTGCTACTCTACAAGAGCCTTAACGAGTGATGAAAAAAAATCAAAGTTTGCAGAATTTGTGGCTACAGATCCTAAACATTGTATTATTATTATTCGAAATCGTTACTTTAAAATACAGGTATTACATGATGATGGGACACAGTATAGTGTGAATGAAATAGCACTTGCACTTAAGCATATTGAAAATATTGTCACTTCACGTAAAGAACCAGGAGCTCCCATTGGTCTTTTTACAACATTAGATCGTACAGACTGGTTTCACGCTCGAGAGCGTTTGAAAGCTTTGGGAAATGGTGAAGTTCTGCAAGCAATTCAATCAGCGATTATTTGTCTTTGCCTTGATGCTGTAGAAGTAACTTCTCCAGATGAGGCAGCACGACTGTTCTTACATGGCCCAGGCACTAATCGCTGGTTTGATCGTCATAATATTATTGTAACTCGTGATGGGAGTGCTGGTATTAACTGGGAACATTCCGTAGCAGATGGTGGGACAACATTGCACGTGGCAGACTTTATGTACAGACGAGATTGTGAAAGATATATAACTGATAAAGATCTGGAAGAATTGATGCAAAATAAAAAAATGACATCACTCACCCTTAAAATGATATCAGAGTTAAATTGGTCTATTGATAATGGTCTTGATAAGTTAATGAATGCCGCTTTTGCAGATTTTAAGGTTTTAATTCAGAGCAATGAGACACATGTATTACATTTTCAACCATTTGGTGGTATTGCTATTAAAAAAAATGGAATGTCACCTGACGCATTTGTACAAGTGGCTCTTCAACTGACTTTTTACAGACTTTTTGGAAGAAACTGTGCTACTTATGAGGCGGCGAGTACACGTACTTTTTCGCATGGACGAACGGAATGTGTGCGAAGTGCAACTCGAGCTGTTTGGGATTTCTGTCACGCCGCAGCGGATCCTGTTTTTTCAAAGCGTGTGGGATCTTATGTACCAAATCAACGAGATCTTTTACGTACAGCATTGGATGCTCATACAAATTATATGAAACTTGCAAAGAAAGGTCTTGGTGTGGATCGTCACTTATATGGACTTCGAGTTATGGGACGTATGCATGGTATTCCACTTCCTGATATCTTTACAAATACATGTTTCCAGCGGAGTGCAACTTGGCTAATGTCTACATCCCACTGCGGAAGTAGTGCATTGGATGCATTTGGATTTGGACCTGTTGTTGGATCAGGTTTTGGTATTGGGTATATGATTAAAGGAAACAGTATGGATTTTGTTATCACTTCCAAGTACACACATCCTTTTACCTCTTCTTCTGTATTTGCATCTATGTTACATTCTTCACTTATGCATTTGGAGTCTATTGTTCAAAGCGAAAAAATTGGTGAACGTGCAAATGGCCACACGTTGGTCTTTTCACATCCTTTTGGTTTGAATGATTTTGAATATACACAACAAGACGGGTTCTTATACCAGCGATATGCGAAGGAAAGTCTACGAGAACTCGCACACACTATGGAAGAGAGTGGGAGTAACGAATCCTCTGCGGACGTCACAAGTGGATGTTCCTCAGAGGGTGTGAGTAATATTTTGTAATGCCTGAAGAAGAAGTACATGAAGTAACTGTCTTTCTCTCACTCTCTTTGTGTGTAAAAATTATTACGAAAGAGAAAGGAAAAATATAGATTATTAAAGAAGAACTAGAGGTAAAAACAAGAAGAAAGACAATTTCTTCTTTGCCATTTACTCTTCCTATATTGATAACCCTCTCTTTTTTTTTTTTCTTTTTTTTTCCTTCTATAATTTTATCTGTGGGTAAAGGTATGGGTATGTCTATATGGTTGATCTGCAAGCGGGTGTTTCTTTGGGATGGTAGCTTCGATTTTTTTTTTTTTTTTCCTTTTTTTTTCGTTTTTATTTATATTTATATTGGTTGAATGGGCTCACGTGGCACTTTCACGCTATTCCGTATTTTAAAAGAAGAAAAAGGGAGGGATGAACATTTTGAGGTATGAAAAGAAATTGGATCAAGTTGTGAAGAAAAATATATATACATATATGTATATGTATCAGATAAAAGAGTGACACGAATGAAAAAAAAAAAATGAAATAGGGATAGAAAAAAAAAATATATATATAAAATGACTGAATGACACTTCTTGTGAACAGTGGTTTGATTCTTGTCCTACTTAAGTGTTTCCCCTTCTTTTTGTAAGAATAGGGGTAATACTTATATTTAGTACAGTGCAATGAGTTTCACTGACACTGCAAGTCGATTCATAACTCATATTTTAATCTTTGTTTATTTTTTTCCCCCATCGATTTCATGTTTTTGATTCAACGCTTATATTTACATATCCCTACGTATGATCCTTATATGTTCATCCTCTCTTTTCCATGCATGCATGCATCTATTTATCCTGTCTCCCGTAAAAGGTATACTACATGCGTATAAGCATCTGTATATTTGACTTTTTTTTATTGGTGTGTGGGGGACAATTTGTCCTTCAGCAAAGGAAACGATTATTATGAAACGACCGTCTATATATATATATATATATATCAAAAAAAAAAAAAAATCGAAACCATTATATTGAGTATGATTCGAAAAATAACTTGTTTATATCCCATCTTTGGGTTTCACTTGTTTTTTTTTTAATTTGGGGTTTTTCTTTTGGGGGTTAATTTCATCTCTTTTTTTGTTGATAGCGACTTGTTTTCGTTAATAAGATGCCCTCTGGGATTGTACTCTTTTAGTACATTAGATACTGTCTTTGGGATCCATATTATTCTTTTTTTTTCTGGTTGGACTCTCTTGTATTCTCCTGTTTTTTTTTCTCTTTGAATTTCTTTTTCTCTGTTCTTTTAGAAGAGATCTGTTCAAGAAGAAAATAAACAAAGGGAAAAATGAAATAATAACATCTATGTATATGTATATGTCTCTAATATATGGGTATAGAGATATCAGTATATGTACTTTGCCTGTTCCCATCTCTCCCATTGTCCGTTTTCACATGATGCTGTACACTGGTATGCTCCTTTGACGTGATTCTCACATGACGATTGAATACCATTATTATCCCAATAAGTCACTTTGCTGATTTTAACGGCTGTACACTGTGCGTTTGCCGCCCATTCTTTCTCTCTCTCTCTCTCTCATTAATTTGAGTAGTCATTATGTGTGTGTTTCATCTGTTTCTATTGTTGCTTTTGTTGCTATTTTGACTGTTCCCATCTCTCCCATTGACCATTTTCACATGATGCTGTACACTGGTATGCTCCTTTGACGTGATTCTCTCATGACGATTGAATACCATTATTATCCCAATAAGTCACTTTGCTGATTTTAACGGCTGTACACTGTGCGTTTGCCGCCCATTCTTTCTCTCTCTCTCTCTCATTAATTTGAGTAGTCATTATGTGTGTGTTTCATTTGTGGTTTCTCTGTTTCTTTTTCTTTTATTTTTGTTTGTTCCTTTTGCCCTTTCCTGTTGTTATTTTTCTTCTTATTTTGCTACTGTTACGTTCTTTTTCCTTCTCTTTTTCTTTTTCTCTTTTTTCTTTCTTTTAGATTATTGTTTGTGCCTCTCCATTGCTGTTTCTCTGTGAAGAATGATGTTCCCCGGCATGCAGGGCCCAAAGCCACTCCCAGACGCGGAGGCACACGCGCAGTTTTGGACGAATTTCCATCGATTTCTCGGCGCCGCCGCCGCCGCCGTCTCCATCGCTTATGTCATTCGTCACTGCGAGCGCCGGACCGGAGCTTTGCTCTTCGCGGGTGTGTAGAAGTGGAATCTCCGTGTAAGTGTGTGTGTGTGTGCGTATCTGTGTGTGTTTTGGTTTATTATGTGTGTAAGAGAAGAAAAGAAAGGGAGGGAGGAAGAAAGAAAAAAAAAAGGGGGGAAAGGATGAATATATAGGGAAAAGGAAGGAGACTATCTGGAGACTGTGATATTCCTTATTCTGTATGAAGAGTCTTACGCTATATGCCACATATGCTGCCCCCTGTTCTTATTCTTGCTAATAGGGGTGGGGATGTTGCTATTATTGTTTCCTATGTAATTTCCATGTAGTATTCTTTTCTTTTCTTTTTTTTTTTTCTTCTTTGAATCCTAAAATTTCTTAAGAACGTGTCAGAGACATATGACCTTCTTCCTTTAATTCTTTCTCTGTAACGATTCACTTCATTATCTTGTTTCTTCCCAGCCACCATCCTTTTACATTATGGTGGATTTAAATACATCTGTATAATGAATAGATGAATCTTATTTATTTATTTATTTTATTTATTCTCAAATACATTTTTTCCCCCTTTTTCTTTTTTTTATTATTGAATTAAATTCCTATCGTTATTTTAGTGTAGGAAGACTTTACTAGCGTCAATGGAGCAGAAGCCATTGATTGAGGTGAGGACTCTCACCGTGGATCAGGCCGAGGGCTCCTCCGCCCCATTGACGGCCCCACTGCATATTCGGCTTCAGTACAGTGTGGGAAGAACTGTGCAGGCACCGCAGTGGCGTGTGGTGTATGAGGCGGATATTGCGTATAAACGAGCTGCCGTGCCGCTTCTCACTTCTTCATCATCTCTCTTTTCACTACCACTACCATCAACATCAATATCAACATCCTTAGCGACACCATCGGCTTCTCCTTCCTGTTTCTCAACATCCTCAACGACAGCCACTGCTAAAGATTCCGCATCATTTCTGCGGCACACTCCCATTCTCAACGGGGCTGCATTACTGCCAGGAGAGTTATATGAGTTGGAAGTATATCTTCATACCATAGATGTATTGTCTGTTGTGCCGGAGACGTTTCTTTTACAAGTAAGTCTTCTGCGCCTCGCACTCTTTGATACGACGGCGTCTGATCATCATGATGATGAGAGTGATGGGAAACAGAATGGCAATGATAGGGAGGTGGGAAGTGTGAACTTTGTGGTGCAGGTAGGAAAGAATGAAGAGGGGATGTTGATGCGGCTGGTGATGAATCCAATGAAGTAAAAAAGAAAAAAAAAAACAATAGGAGAAGAAATGAGAAACAAAAAAGGGAAAAAAAGAGGTTCACACTAAAAAACAGGTGAAAAAGAAAAGGAGAACGAATAAAATAATTAATAAAAAAAAAAGTAATAGTAAAGGATCAAGTGTGAAGTGGGATCACATTCTTTTTTTTTCTTTCTTTCGTTTTCCCATTCTTCTTTATATACTATGTTTGTACTGTAAAGACATAGATTTCTTCACATACATCTATTTTTTTTTTTTCTTTTTCTTCAGTTTAAATGAACACACACACGTGTGGCCTATAAAACAGTATATATGATGCCTGTTTTTTTTTTTTTCTCTTTATAATTACAACTCTGTTTTTCACTGTAATCTAATTTTTATATTATTATTATTTTTTTTCTTCCTTCTTCCTCATTATGATAACAAAACAAACACACAAATTTAAGTAAAGGGAGGGCCTAACAAGAGGTGAGATACTCTAACAAAGTAATACCAACAGAACCAAAAACAGAAGGGTATATTTAAATAGAGTATAGCGGGGGAAAGAGAGAAAAAAAAGAATAATAACAACAACAGTACAAAAAAGGACGTGATGTTGCTCGGCGGATTTGTTCCACGTCGTTTCGCGCAGTTCAACCGTGATCCATGTTGGATGTTTTTTATTTTTTCTATTGGTTTCTGGTGGGGTGAATATCCAGCAATGCAGATCAAGTATAACGCACGCGATCTCATCTTTGACCCACACCGCTATGTATGGAGCCACCACGATGATCATCACTAGTATAGTTAGAACTTTCATCAGCAGAAGCGGCAATTAAGCAGACAGCGGTTGAAAAAAAAAAGAAAAGAGAATGAAGTAGTTAAGGCATAAAAGAAAAAAAAAAGAAGAGAAGAAACAGTAGGTCACCAATGAAGCGAATAGTAGGAATATTACAATTGTAGCGTAAATTCTGTTTGCTTTGTCTTTCTACACATATTTGTCACGCCAGTATGTTAATAAAAGAGGGGGATACAAAACAACAACAAAAAAAGAATGACAAGTGTTTCTGGCATTTGTACTTATGTGTTCATACAGCCGTTAATGTATCTGTCTTTTCTTTCATTACTGATATATATATATATATATATATATCACGTAAAGAGAAGGTAGATCACAAAAAAATGGTATTCATACCTCTTCAACGGTGTAGAAAGGCAGTGTAGGCGGTTTGGGTTGTAGATGAGGACGTATTAGCAACTGAAGGAAAGAGACTGAGAGAAAAAGAAAAAAAAAAGGGGGGAATGACATGCACCCATTTTTTTTTTTTTTTTCCTCTCTATCAATCGCTCTCTCTCCCTCTATATATACATATTATCAATCGTTAATACACACTTAGAAGTATTATATTACAATACTAATATTAATTTATTTGTTTTAGATTCTGTGGTTTTGTTGTTATGTCCATTTGATTATGTTTTTTTTTTTCTCATTTTTTTTTTTTTTACTATTTTTTTTGTTTTTCAACGCGACGTATGTTCTTAATAATTTGAGGATACATAGATCGTTATTTGACAGATCAGAAAAGAAGAAGCAAACACCGAGCAAATATAAAACAAAGAAAACAACAAGAACAACAACCAATAAAAGAAAACAGGGAAAGAAAGACGGGGGGAAATCAGAGAACGAGGGCGTGAAAAATAAAGAAACAAACAATTAGAAGAAACTATTGAGGAAACGAAAGATACTATATACATATATATATATATATATATATAGATAAACAACAAAAAAAAAAACAAGAAATCCAAAATCCATAATCATGCACCAAACAGAACTTGTGGAAGCCATTATCACCATGGCGCACGTGCTGGAGCCCCACGCACTCGCCACACTTCACCAGCGCCTCACAAAAATGTTGGGAAACGACATGTACGCATCTCATCAAGGCGGTGGTGGGGCGCCCTCGTCGTTTAGAGGCGGCGGCCCGCGTGATCACCACCAGCACCACTCACATCATCATCATCAGATGCAACACCACCAGCACCACCACCGCGGCAGGGGAGGTGGCGGCTTCTCTGATGTTTACATGCACGACCGACGCCGCTTTAACGATTATAGGGACGCCGCTGCAAACAACACAAATGGAAATGGAATGCGTTATTCATCACGTGGTGGTTATGGTGGTGGCAGACATCGTGGTAATGGGAGATTCCGAAATGATGATCGCTCTGGGTCTTCTGGCCACCGCAATCATGATAACAACAATATGGATGATAACCGTAAATGGAGATCTGAAGAAGGAGCATCAAAAAATGCAAATACAATCACATCTAATACATCCGGTACGGGGAGTGCTGTTAATGCCAACAATGCGGCGGGTGGAATAAATACAAATGCAGCAGGTGAGGGAGACAGACATAATCAGCGAAAAGGGGGAAATAAAAGACGGGACAGACGCCGCCCTAATACCAGTGATAGTGAGACGAAATGATCACGGGGACTCTGTCTGTAATCTCTTCGTGTGTTTTTGTGGGGTTCCAACCGGGAGTACGAAAGTACAAGGAAGCGGCTGAGAGAGAATTATTTACTCTTCTAGGCTGATGATTCTTTGCGAAAAAAAAAAAACAAACAAACAAACAAACGAAGAAAAAGGAAAGAAACAACGAGCGAAAGGGAGACGGAAAGAGCTGAAATGTGAAAAGAAAAAAATATATAATGAAAAAAAAAAGAAAAGAAAAGTATTCCTGCCCCAGCGAGATTGATTTTTTAAAAAGGAAAAAGAAAAGGAACAAAATATCAACTAATTTCTTCTCCTTCTCCGCGGAGGGTCTTGAGGAAGTGATGAAAAAAAAAAAAAAAAGAAAAAAAAAAAGAGGCCCGGCAAGTGTATTGGTGTTTGTGTATGCGTATAGTAACAACGGCTGTCAGATTGGATGGGAAGGCAGTGTCGGAAAGCGGAAAAGAAAAACAGGGGAAGAGTGGTCAGGGAAATGAAAGCAAAAGTATTGGAGTACGACCCAAGAAAAAAAAAAAAAAAGAAAAAAAAACACTTGGAAGAACAGGTCTGAATTAGATAAAATGTTCCTCTGGAGTCATCTGTGTGAACCCCTTTCATGACAGAAAGAAAGAAATAGAAGAATGAAGACATCACACGATCAACTGAAAAGGAAGAAAAAAGAAAAAAAAAGAAAGAATCAAAAACAACAAGAGAAAGGGGGAAAAAAAAGGGGAGACACTTACGTAGGAAAGGGAATGAATCCCTCCTTCTTTCTGTGTGTAATATGGTCATAAGAAAGAAGAAAATCAAAGAAAAGGTGATACACCAGATTGTGGAAAGGAATCCCAAATAGCAGATGATGGTCAAATCAGTGAAAGATAGTTGGAGAGAAAGAAACAACGTGTATAGAAGACAGAACATTAATTAAAGAACAAATAACGTTCTGAAGAGAATTTCCTCCATGTAATAGGACGAGGCGAGTGATAATGATTACTGATGTGTTTGAAGTAATAAAGCTACAGATACACCTATGCAAACAGAATAGAGAATAACCATTTTATTCTTTTTCTTTTTCTTTGCCCCATCAATATCAGATTTTCCTTGCCTTTTCCCTCTTTTTATGCTTTTTGTGCGTGTGCGTGTGCGTGTTTTTTTTTTTTTTTTTTCTTCCTTCCTCATACAAGCGTGCGTATATATGTGTGTATTTGTGTGGGCACGTCTGTACGTCTGTATCAATGAGAGAGTGTGAGAGCAATTACTGTCAGACCCGAAATGCACACAGACGGAATAGTTGGGGTTACAGGTACAGTTGAAAGGAAAGAAGGGGTGAAACCAAAAAAAAAAAAAAAAATTGGAGTGATGGGCTGCGAGTTCTTTTTTTTTTTTCTTTCGTTTTCTCTCTTTTTTTTGTTGTTTCTCTTTATTTTCTTTCTTGTTGTACCTATTCCTCAGGTGAGGAATTAGTTGGGACTTTGCTCTTAAATGTGTTTACTTCATTAAGGGCAATAGTCAAGAGCTTTCCTCTTGCTCTGTTTTTATGCTTTTGTAAATGAGAGATCTTATCAGGGAATGAAACCTGAAAAATGGGCTAAGAGAATTACAAGATAAAAATAGAAGAGAAATACGACCCCACTTCTTCTGTACGCAAAGGGTCTTGACGCAATGGTTCTTCCTCCTATTGTTTCTTCTTGTAACGATGCGTGGGCGTACAAGCGCATATACATATGCATATATATATGTCTGTCTGTGTGTTTTTTTCTTTAAGGATTTTTTTTTGTTTGTTATATTTTAGCACATATATTACAAATCAACATATTCTTGCCAGAATGTTATTTTTGTATTTGTATATAAACTGTTTTTTTTTTTTTGTTTTTCTTCTCTTTCTTGTTTTCTCTCTCTTTCTCTGGGTACGTTTCCCCTTCACCCCCTCACCCCCTCTGTTTTTATTGTTATTCTTATATATACATGGGCTGAACTTGGTGAGAAGTCACCATTAATGTCTGACACAAAGTCGAAGGAGTCTGGAGTTAATGCTGGATCAGCTAAGAGTACTGAGGCACACCACAGTACGGAATCCAAGCAGGTGGTAGCTGTTCAAAGTGTGGACAAGGGGGTGAGTAAGCATCCGCTAAATCGTCCATGGACGCTGTGGTACGACTCCGTATCAACGTACGACAGTCAGAGATGGGAGCATTCCCTTGTTGAGGTGATGACGGTGCGAACTGTGGAGGACTTCTTTACGATGCTGCACTACTGTAAGCCACCACATGTTCTCCGTGTGTCTGCGCAGTATCATTTCTTTCGCGAAGGTGTGAAGCCAATGTGGGAAGATCCCAGCAACAAGGGAGGTGGTAAGTTGTGGTTGAGTTTTGACGGAAAGATCTTTGGTGGCGCCGCCGTCGGTAAAAAAGTGGAAACTGCCAACACAAATGGTACTGTTACTGGAGACGGCGCCAACAACAATAGTGCCAGTTCACAGGAAAAGTCAAAGAAGGAAGAACAGGATGTCGAGAAGAGCCCTGAGCTGGACACCATTTGGGAAAATGCGCTCATGGCAATGGTTGGCGAGTACCTTGACGACGATGTAGGCGGCGAGCACATTATGGGCGTGGTGCTCTCAAAACGCAAGTACCAAAACCGCCTGGCATTGTGGTTGCGTGATGCCACCGCCACTGAGGCGATTTCGCGCATTGAGAGGCAACTAGTAAAGGAACTGGGACTGCCGTCCCGCGCGCGTTTCATCTTTACTCCACACGTTAGCGGGAAATCGTAATATACATTCAGTCAGCAACAGCAGCAGTAGCAGCAGTAAGAAGAAGACGACGAAGACGAGGAAGAAGAACAGAGGCAGCAGAGCCAGGGGGAGGAAAGTCCTGAAATGGGTAGTGGGGGTAAATGAGATGGGCTCTGAGGGCATTATTGTGATCTCAAGAAGAAGAAAACAAAGAAAGTTGAAAGGAGGGGGAGGGGAAATGGAAGGAAGAAGGAAGGATAAATTCATGAAGGGAACATAAAGGAATTAAAGATGCGAGCAGTCACTACCAAAAATAAAGGAAAAAGAGAAAAAGTGAAGCTGAGGGAGGCAAAACAACAACAACACAAAGAAGAAGGGAAACCCAGTAAAAAAAAAACAATAAGCAGAAAGAGAAAATGTGAGTTTCACAATAATGGAAGAAGGAGGAAATAGAGAAAGAAAGAGAGAGAATGAAAGAGAGAGGAAAATGATTAAAAAAAAAAAAAAACCAAAAAAGAAAAGAGAAAAAGAAACAAAGGGGAGGGGAGAGGAAAAAAAAAAAAAAAACTATCATCAAAGAAAATAACAAAATCAAAAAAAAAAAGTTTGCCATTCTTTCTTTTTTTCTATATATGTATACACATTTGGATGGATAAAAAAAGAAAGTAGGCCTGCTCTGTGGGTATGTGTGACTGTGAAAAATGATGATTAGCCGAATTCTGGTAGGGATGGGGAAGAAGATAATAGAGAAAGGAAAGGAACTTCTTTCCCTTTGTTCTGTGCTGTACTAATATTATCACTGTGTATGTATGTCTATACAAAAAAAAAAAAAATAATTATGGTTTTGCAATCCTCTCCTCACGCATGCACGTGCAAACACATACAAGCACAATACAAGCGACTAACATCTTTTTATTTTTATTTTATTTTTACCTCGACGTTATATTTCTGTTTCTTCCTATTCTTTCTGTTATTATTGTTATTTTTGTTGTTGATGTTGTTGTTGTTGCTTTTATTATTGGTAGTGTACCGCTTCTTTCTTTTTTTTTTCCTTTTTTTGTTTCTGGGATATAAAGCCTAAGAGGGATGATATGCCCCTATGCTTTGTACCACTCACCTCGATTGTTTTCCCTTTCTTTCTCTTTCATCATGAACACAACGAGTGCAGGAAAAAAAGGAAACCAAAAGCCAGAAGAAGAGCTGTTAAAGGTTTGAATTGTTATCCTTATTGTTTTTTTCTTTTCTTTTCTTTATATGGTTTCCTTGTTTTTTTTCTCTATATTCTTCTTTTCTCCTTTTTTTTTTTTGCTTCTCTTCTTCATTGCACACCTGCAACTGTGTATCCACATATACTAAGTGGAAACATTGAAGCAGAAGCAAGAGGGGAGGGTTGCAGAAAAGCACAACACCCATTTTCAAATAGGTGAAATAACTATAGGGTGAGAAGAATATAAGATTACAGTAGAGAAAGAGAAAAACAAACAAACAAACAAGCAAAGAAAAGAAAATGCCTCTCGCTACGCAGGCAACCAATGAAAATACGGCCACAATAAATTCTGAGCAAATGCCTTCACTGGATGAAAGTGCGCAAAATAACACCAGTGGTGGCACAGTCTTTGGAAAAGATAGCAACAAACCTGAAAAATGTACGAGCGGGTGTGCGACGGATTGGATATCGGATGAGTTGGCAGTTCTTGCAGATGAACTGCGCACTTATATTCCAAAGGGCACGTGGGAAAGTCTCGGAAGTGAGAAGGAAATTATGGAAGAAAACGGAGATGATGTGAAGAAGCGGGCACAAGTACGTGTAGCATTTGAGGTACGAAGAGATGTTCTCATTCACCAACGAATGGTACACACAAGTTATTTAACAAAAGAAGCCAGTGAAGATAGTCGTGATCTACGTGGAACGGTAAACACAATGTATGAAGTGGCGAGAAGTGAAGTGGATATTGGGGTACAAGCAATAGTACCTCTTGTAAATAGTACTTCACAGACATTATTTGCACGGAAAGTGGATGCTGCTGTACAGGCGGAACCCACACTTGTAGATGCGTGTATTCGTGGTTCTCTTCCACCAGGTAAAATGGCACCAGAATTAACAGCTTTCTTTGATAAAGTACTTCCCCGTACTCTTCATTGTCTTTTACAGAATCATGAAGTTCCAATTTATAAAGATGATTTTTCTTTACTTACAGAAGATGATGCGATTGTGGGATCTCGTGATGATGCTGTTCTTATTGAAAGGGGTAATTATACACACACAACTATGAAAGATCTTCGAGTTTCTTCTATTAGTTGGAGAAGTTCAAAACCAAAGGATGATTATGTATGTATTTCTTCTATAGCGCGTTATAACTTTGATCAACGTATGGAAGCAGAAAAACGATGTGAAACTTGTGTAAATCTTGTTTGGGATTTTGCAGATCCTATGCATCCTCGAGCTTTACTTGAAGCACCTGTAGAGATACAAGTAATGTGTTTTAATCCTCTTAAACCAAACCTTATAGTAGGTGGTGCGATGAATGGTCAATTATTTTTATGGGATTTAAATCAAATAACTGCAACAACTGTTAGTGCTAATAGTAGTGTTAACAATGATATTGCTACAGCTGGTAATTCTATGAAAGAACAAGTACCAGAATCTGTTGAAAGTTTTAGACCTGAAACTGGATCTAAAGATATACCACCTATGGCACCAAGTGTTAAAGGATTAAGTGTAGAAAGAGATGGAGATGCACTTGTACCACGTCTTCAACCTATACAATCATCTCGTGTTGAACTTTCTCATAGACGTCCTGTTCATGCAATTCAATGGATGCCAAATGGTTTAGAATGTGGATTTGATGGAAAACAAGTTGTCACTCAAGAAGGTCGTCAATTTATCTCTTTAAGTGATGATGGTTATATGTGTGTATGGGATATTCGTGCTGAACATCTCCCGGCGGATAAACTTCGAAAAATGAAACATCAAGGTCGTGTGGGAGGTGAAGAATTTCCATGGGTTCCACTATTAAAATTTCAAATGTCTAAACCAGGAAACGCTGGAGATTTAATGGGATATTGTTTTCACGTGGATGGTTTACAATCTAATGAGGCACCTTCCTATACTGTTTGTTGTGGTAGTACAAATGGTGAGGTTGCTATATGTAATATACAAACACCTGATGAGAGAAGAGAATTTTCAGCAAATACAGAAGAAACTCGAGTGGTACGACAAGTATCAAGAGGTCATGCCGGTGCTGTAACGGGAGTACAACGTCATCCTACTATAAGTGATGTGTACTTATCATGTGGAGATCTTCACTTTAAACTTTGGCGTGTAGGATTAAATCATCCTATATTTACATCTCCTCAACATGATGCCCCTGTGACATGTGCGTGTTGGTCTCCTACACGGGTAAGTGTCGTTGTAGTTGGAACCATGGATGGTAAAATACAAATATGGGATCTCTTAGATAGAAATAGAGAACCCTTACTGGTTCATCAACTTGTACAAGATGCGATTACGGTTATTACCTTTAAACCACCACCCCCTACTTTACCACCAATGTATGTACAGTATGTGGCGATTGGTACTAGTGTGGGTTCATTCCATTGGTATGCACTACCGCGAGTCCTCTCACGCGGGCCGAGTGGAGAACAGCGACATTTCCGGGTCATGTTAGAACGGGAAGTGCGGCGAGTCCACTATTACATTTGGCGATGGTCGGAGCGTGAACGAGAACGGGATCGTTACGGTGCGGCGGCCGCCACAATGTTTAGAAAGTCACTTCCCGCCATTGCGGCCACGACGGCGGCGACGGCGGCGGCGGATGAACACGAGATGCGATTGGATCATTTTGGAATGATGCCGCATGAAGAGAACTTTTACGCCCACAATCACCATCGCGATGAGGAGTTTCTCCGCATTGTAGAGCAGCCACTGCCGGAGGCTGACATGATGGAGATGGAGATGGATGACATGGACGAGGATGAGAATATCAACGGAGAGGTAAATGGAATATAGAGCTTTCTCACACACTCACTCACTCACACACACATACACACGCATGGGAAGAAGAAGAAGAAGAAATGGAAAGAAATCCAACAAGCGAGAACACAATGAGAAAAAGAAAAAAGGAAACAACTATAGTTAATAAAATGATCAATAGAACGAAGAAAAATATTATTAAAGGTGTGTGTCTCTTTCTTTTCTTTTCTTTCTTTTTGGTTTATAGAGTGGTGTAGTGGTTAGGAGAGATTCTTGGATAATTTATTCGCTTTGTTTCTCACTTAACTGTTTTTTTTTTTTTTTTCTCTTTTTCTCTGTTGTGTGTGTGTTTGTTTGCCCTGTGCTTTCCTTTCTTCTTTATATTTTCTTCTTACTGCACAAATCATATGTACATGATGCGCGAAAAACGAATGATGTAAAAGAGAGTAAAAGAGTAAAAAAAAAAAAGAAAGAAAGAAAAAAAAAACCAAACTGAGCATGCCTTGTTGCACATATTTCCTGTTAAGAGCGTTTCAGTTATTATTATTTCCTTTTTTTTTCTTTTTTTGATATTGTTGTGGTGATGATGATGATGGTGATGGTTGAACTCTTTTTTTTTCTTTCTTTCTTTACAATCGTTTGCCTTTCAAAAAATAAATAAAAAAAAAGAAATAAAAATAAAAAAACAAGAAAAGGAAGTGTTTTCAGCTACCCTGTTGAATCCTTTTGAAATGGAGTGTTGTTATTTTATTTATTTTTATCGTATCTTTTTTTGTTTTCTTCTCTTTTTTCTTTGTTTTTGTGTGTTGACATTTACTCTTCCCTGCTGAATGATAGGAAAGAATTTAAACAAAACAAAGCCCCATTTCACATAGCTGTATCGACGCTCTGAAGCGGTATATATATTTTTTCTTTTTTAGGCCAAGATAAAGCGATAGATCAGAGAAATACCAACAATAAGAAGAAAAAGAACGAATACCCTTTTTATTTATTTATTTTAAAGGGTAGTAAAGAGCAAGAAGAAGAAGAAAGAAAGGGAGAAAAAACAAAACAAAAAGGAAAAGGGGAAAAAAAAAAAAAAAAACAGATGGCTGCCCTTGTACATCTTCCTGACAAATTCATCACATTTCCGTATCGTCGTGGAAAGGAAGATGTACCGGATTGGTGTCTTTGCCTCAACTTTATTAGTATTAATCACTCTAGTAACAACACCAGTAGTGTAGAGGCCGCATTAAAGCAGATGAATAGTTTACACAAAACTATTGTTCAGACATGCCGTAACGACAGCAAAATTATTCCAAGTGAAAGTTTTATTGAACACACATTAAAGCCTTATTGCCAATTGGTCGCAATGGCTCAGGCACACCTCCCACTTCATAAGGCACAAGTACATAAAAATATGATGTTTGTCTGGCGAGACAGTTTTGATGATAATTATAAGAATGAATCTTACAATGGAAATCTTGAACTTTTATGTTGTATTTACAACCTTGCCGCTTCTTACGCTAATGTTGCCGCACATCAAGCACAAAGAGGAACTGTAGATGATGTGAAAAATGCATTTAAATCTTTTCAAAATGCTGCCGGATATTATGAAACGGTGGAACAATTATTAAATCGACTTCCACCAGAACATATAAAAGGTGATTTAACTTCAGAGTCTTTGAATTTGCTACGTCGTATTTCTCTTACCACAACTCATCACTGTGCTTATCTTAAGGCGGAACAAGATATGAAAGGGAATCATACTATGTTAGCAAAAATTGCACGTGAAGGTGCTAAACAATATGAAGAGACTGCAAGTGCAACTAAAGTGAGTACATGGTTTGGAAATAATAAGAAAAATAGTTTGGTAACACAAATGGAACAAATGCTTTCAACTATGGCATTAATATTTAATGCCCGTGCTCATTTACATCTTGCTGTTTTACGAGAAGAAGCGGATGAAGTAGGTATTGCCATTGCTCACTATAATAAAGCACAAAGTTTTTTATCTAAAATTCCAAAATTATCTAATGATGATCTTCGTTCATGGGTAAATAGTATTATTAATAATGTGAACAAGGCACATGAAAAGGCAATTGCATCAAATGAATCTGTATACTTTATGCGTGTTCCTAAAGAAGTAGAGGATCCTAGTGGTCTTCCACGTCCATTAGGAAAAGCAACAGAACAACATTGTTTTACTTCATTTGAGTCTAAACGAGGAGAAGATCCTTTCTTTGGTATTGTTCCTGCTCATATAGCATCTATTGCTTCTAAATGGCGTGAAAAGGAAAGAAATCTTGTTTCTGTTTGTACTAAATCTTGTACTGCAAATCGTAATAAAGCTTCTGAACTAATTCAAAAACTTGGTGTAACAGCAATGATTGAAGTACTCTCTGGTGAAGCTAGAACTCGTGGAAAAGTTCCTACACCACTCGCAGAAAAGATTCAATCTCTTCATAAGGGTGAGGGTGGTACAACTGTTGGTGTAGTAGCATCTCTGTTATCAATGGTAAAGACATGTGATGAGTTGTGGGTTGCTGCTAATGAAAAGATTCAACAAATCAAAGCAGAACTAGAAGCTGAACAAAAAGAAGATGCAGTTTATCTTGAAGCTTATGGTGAACGAATGTGGAGATCTGCACGTCGTCCTGCTTATGAAGTGGCAGAATATCACTCTATTATTGCTGCCATTCAGGATCATGAGAAGGGACTTCAACAATGGTTAGTAGAACCATTTGGTAAAGCGAAGATTGTCGTTGATGAGAGTGTACGTGATTTGGCACGTTTGGATTGGCCAATGTCTGATCTCGATGCCCTCATGCCCTTTGTAGGTACTAATGAAGCACGTGAACAGAGTCAAAAGATGTTAAGTCATGTTGAGACACTAAAGAAATTAATGCTACGTAAACAGAATATTGAAGAAACACAAGATAGTCGTTTACGGGAATTAAATGAACTTATTGAGTCTGACAATGTAACCTTTGCACTCTCTGCAGTAGAAGCAAATCAACGTGATGTTGTATTAAATAAAGCAACTCAACAAATCAGTGATGCTATTGAGCGAGCCAATGAAACTATGCGAGAAGAAGATAAAGTTATGCAAGAAGTAGAAGCAGCTGTAAATAATTTAGGCTACCTCCAGAGTTCAGATCCCGTTATGGAAGAAATGCAAAAAGTATGTAATGGACTAGAGAATGCCTGTTCTATTTACTGTAATTTACGTCAGGAGTTTTCAGATATTGTTCGCTACGGCTCCTCTGCTCTTGACGGCTTAGAGGCCACACTCTCCAGTGCCAAGTCCTTTACTGTCTGCCGTAAATTAGAAGCCGAGGGGTTGAAGGAATCGCTGGATGCTCAAATCGCCAAGAAGATTGCAGAGATGCAGCAAAATCAAGCGAGTGCTAATGCCATTGAGGAATCACGAAAACGACAGGAGGAACTACGAAGACAGATTGAACTGCTGGAACGTCAACAAGAGTCATTGGAGCCAAATCGAGCTGAGCGAATGGCGGAAATATTACGCCGTCAACGAGAGGTGGCGGCGGCCTTTGCAGAAACTCCATCCGCCCCTCCTCCTCCTCCTCCTTTTCCTCCTTCTTCTTCAGTGCCAACAACAGACGGAGATGCCCCGCCGAGTTACGAATCGGTGATGAATTCACATTTCTACATGCAGCAACCACCGGCTCCACCACCGGCGTATCGCCCACTGTAGTGATTATAGGGATATATATATATATATATATATATATATATATATATATATGTTAATCCCCCCTTTTTTTTTTAATTTTATTTTGGCCGTTTTTCTTTAAAAAACGAAAAGGAGGATAAGTACGAGAAAAGGAGAAGAAGAGAAAGAGAAAAACAAAACGAAAAAAAGAAAAAAAAACTTTTCTTTCTATATAGACTCCTTTAATTCCTTTTGCATTATTTCTCTTGTTTTTCACGTTTTCATTTACATACTCTTACGGTATCAAACTTTACGTTAATGAAATAATTGTGAGGGAAAAATGGTATTAGTTATTTCTTAACTAATAATACCCTTTCTTATTTTCTCTCTCTCTCTCTTTTTTTTTTGATGTTTTTGTGAACTCAATTTCCAAATATATTTCTCTATCGGTATTCATTCATTTTTTTTTTTTTGGATTTAGAATGGATGACAATGAAATCTCTTTAATGGGAACCACTGTTGTGTTGAGGTGTTTTAAAAAGGACACGAATGTGGCGAACAGTGATCAACAGATTTGTTGTAAAATGATTCTACAACAAAACGAGAATGAATTAATCTTTACGATTCCACCGAATAATGGAGAGAGGGTAGTATGTTTACAGAAAATATCGTTAAGAGATGTTGTCTCTTTCACATTACGTACAGGTAGAGAAGGCACGGAATGGATGCAAATCTACAATCAAAAAGGGAATCGAGTGGATAAATGTAATGAATCTACTCCAGTATTCCCTTCTGTGATTCTATTGGAAATGGTGAACGGTGATGTAGTGGAGATTGCTGGTATGCCAATTGCGGAAGTGACCTCACTCCTGCAAATTGTTGATGCTCAATTGCAGCAACAGAAGCGGGAGAAGAATATAAAAGAAGAGGAGAAATCTTCACTTTCTCGTCTGGACCAGTATATTGCATCGAAGTATCGTGGAAACACATTATCGCATGAGAGTCTGTTAACTTCACCCTCACCTGCACTTTCACCATCTGTAATGATGCCTCAAAGTATTAATAATGGGGAAATGAAGAAAGGCGTATTAAAGCCAAGACGAGTGAATAAATATACTGCACTTTTGTCTGAGAAGGATACTATTCACCCCACCAATGGTCTCTCGCCCGATAGGCGAATAGAACAGCTTCAAGGTAATGTTATTATGCACTTAACTCCTATTGGAGTCCCTACTCAAATGGTAGAAAGTTTTAACATTGGTAGGCAAGGCGATGATAGAACGAGAAGAGAGCTATCGGAGGGGGAACAAGTGAATATCTCATTGCTTCAATTGGATACCTTTAACTCTAATATGACCTCTAGTTTAGATAATCAACGGAAACCATCTCTTCTACCATGCTCGGATGGTAAACTTAGTGGTAATGTCAATAGTGCTAGTGATGCTGCTATTCCTTATGCTTCTGTATTAAAGACTACTGATGGAATGAGTTCAGGGAGACGTGAGGCTTACTTATTAAAGAAGTTAAAGGAAAAAACTAGAGAACTGGAAAAAGTACGAACTGAACTTCGTTTTACAGAAGAGGTTCTGCGGCATAAGACTGAAGAGGGTCTTCGACAAGAACAAATGCTGCTTGAAAAGTACAAATATCTCACACCAGCACAGCGAGCTCTATTGGATTTTGACGCCTTGTTGGAACCAGTCCTTTCACTTGAGGAAGTACAACGTAGGCAAGAAGAAGAAGAACATCAACGACATTCAACAGGGCGTAAATTGCAGCACTTTCAACAGCTTTCCAAGGCCTTTAAAGAACAATTACAGGAACGCTCTCTCTCAAGAGTGAATACCATTACCCCAGAAGTTTCTCTTACAGAACCATTTAAGGAAGAAACGACATCACCGCATGCCACTAAGCAGATGGATTCACAGAAAATGTCTGCAGACGACACATCAATGAATAATAATCAGACTTCAACAGACGCTATCACTCATAGTAGAGATATTGTTAAATCAGCAAGCCCCAAACTTAGTGTTACATCTCCTAATTTCACGGATATACACCGTAACACAATAGGGAAGTCTACACTTCCCCCTTCACGCCTGGAACTCTCAGGGAATGACTTGCCGCTATCACCACCATCGCCACCAGTGGTGATGCCAACAGTCACTACTACGACGACTGCTGCATTGACACCAAAACCATTGGTTAATACTTCTTCAGATGCTATTGGTAATTTACCATCACCACCAGCTGGATTACCGCCA